AAGACGCGCCGCGCGAGGAGGACGAGGCGCTGCGCGCGTGGCTCGAGGAGGCGCTCGTCGGCGCCGCGCCCGCCGCGGCGGACACGCCCCTGCAGCGGGAGCTCGCGGCGGCGCGCGCGGGCGAGACGCGGCGCCGCGCGGCCGCGGTCTGGGCGTCGGCGCCGCTCCGGGCCGCGCGCGAGGCCGTCGCGCGCGAGGTCGAGGCCGGGCGCCTGGGCCTGCGGCGGGGCCTCGACGTGCGCTGCGACGTCGCCCTGCGGGGCGCCGTGCTCGACCTCCTGGGCTGCTACGACCGCGCGTGGCTCAGGGTCGCGCTCGACGCCGCGGACCCGCTCCGGAGGGCCGGCGCGCCGCTCGCGGACTTTCTGTTCGGCGACGGCGAGACGAACTTCTACAAGGACCCGGAGCGCCGGGGCCTCGGCGGCCGCGGGGGCGGCGTCTGGGGCGAGGCCCAGGGCCGCCGCCTCGCGCGGCGCTGCGTGCGCCGCGTGCTCGCCGTCGTCCACTTCTTGGACGCCGCGCGGCGCGCGGACGCGCTGCCGACGCGGCCGCGGCTCTTCTCCCTGAAGCGCGGCGCCGTGCTCTGCGGCCGCGGGCCGGCCAAGGTGCCCGTCAAGACGAGCGCGGAGGTGCTCCGCGCGTTCGGCTCCGAGGCGCTCGGCGGCGAGGGCGACGTGCTGGGCCACTGCGGCCGCCTCGGCGTCGCGCTAACCTTCGAGCAGACGCCCCTCCACGAGTTCGACTGGCGCGTGCGGGACCTGCGCCACGACCTGCGGGACGGCGTGCGCCTCGCGCGCGCCGTCGACGTCTGCGCGCGCGCCGAGGGCGCCGCCGCCGACGCCTGCGCGACGCTCCGCGCGCCCGCGTTCAGCCGGCTCCAGAAGCTCCACAACGTCGCCGCGGCGCTCGGCGCGCTCGAAGGCCTCGGCGCCTTCCCGCCCCCGGGCCGGCGCGCGCTCGCGGACTGGGCGCGCGCCGTCGTCGACGCGAAGCCCTTCCGGCGGACGCGCGACGTCCTCGACGCGCTCGCGGGCCGCTTCGCGGGCGCGCGGCGCGTCGCCGACGCCGCCGCCGTCGACCGCGAGGTCGCGCGGCTCCGCGACGCCGACGCCTGGCGCGACTTCGCGCGGCTCCGGGGCGCCGGCGGCGACGCCGTCGACCGCGCGGCGGCCGCCGCCGCCGCGGCCGCCGCGGAGCCGGCGACGGAAGCGGCGGCGCCGGGCGACGCCGCGGAGGCCGCGGCGCGGCGCGCGCTCGCGGCCTGGGCCCGCGCC